TCCTGTGTTCCCTCTCTCACTGTGTCTCTCTCTGTCAAATAAATAAATAAAATCTTAAAAAAAAAAAAAAAAAGCAAAAGTTAGTGGAGAGCAAGAATTACCTTACCTGTGCAAAGTAGAGTTTTAATTTTTTCCCTCTGAACTGGGTTTCATGAAGCTCTATCCTGGCTCGGGCTGCAGATTTGGGATTGCTGAAGTTTATTCGGACACGTCTGAAACTCTTAAACAGCTGGAACGTCACGCAGTCATCGTAAGTCCGAAACAGACCCTCAAATTTTTCCTGATGAAGAAAAAAAAAAAAGAGAGAGGAAAATCCATTGGTCATGTATCTTGCACGATGCCTGATCTGACACAAATTAACTAAGTAAATAACTAAGTAAATGAATAGGCTGTTCTCAACATAAAACAGAACACTAGTAATGTATTTTTTTAATTTAAAATCAATTAATTAACATATAGTGTATTATTAGTTTCAGATGTAGAGGTCAGCGATTCACCAGTTGCATACACACCCAGTGCTCATTCCATCCCGTGCCCTCCTTATTGCCCACTTACCCCACCCACCCCAGCCACCTCCCCTCCAGCAACCCTCAGTTTGTTTCCTATAGTTAAGAGTCTCTTATGGTTTGTCTCCCTCTCTGATTTCGTCTTAGTTATGTCTTTTTTTTTCATCTGTTGGTCTGTTACCAGGTGTTAAACATGCTTGTGGATTCAGTGGAAGGATTCATAACCTGCGTCCTGAGATCTGTAGAGGAACAGTCAACGAGGTTTGAAATGCATAAAAAAACCTGAAAATTATGCAAAAGTGTTGAATAAGTTTCTGTGTGTATGTATTTTTTTTTCTGGGGAGAGGGATCATAGTTGTCAGAAGATTCTCAGAGAAGTCCGTTATTGCTGAAATATTAGAGCTATCGAGTACAGTATGTGATAGATATTATTAGCGATTATCAGTCTTGGTGGCGCTCGTTCGATGGTGCCATGTGATTAGTCCTGGTTCATGAAATGTGTGCAGAAGGCAAGAAAAAGCACTTAAGAATTTTTTTATCTCTTTCTCTGAAGATGCCATGTATTCCAGATGGTATACCATTTGGAAGCAGGATTCTCCTCAGCCTGGGTCCCTGAGTGGCCTCTGTGGGGCAGAAATATCTTTCACCCATCCTATAGTTGACTTTGTCTTGGCAAAAAAAAAAAAAAAAAAACCAACAAAAAAAAACCCCAAACCAAAAAACAACAAACAAATCTCTATTGCATTAAACCACTGAGATCTGGAGATCACGTTATTCCAACAGCATAACCAAACCTATTACAGTACAAAGCAATCATTTAAAAATTTTGATTTGGTACAATTTCAATTCAACCAAACAAATCTCTATTAAATGCTCACTTTACATAAGGCATGGTCTCTAGGCTTTAGGAGGATACAGAGATGAGTATCATTATATTCTGACTCTCAATGGTCTAACAATCTATTGGGAGAGGCAGACACGGACACAAATAAGAGAATGCCCAAAAGGCTGGGGAAAGGCATAAAAGGAGAATCAGAGAATTATATATATATATATATAAACACATACACACACACATATATACACACACATATACATAAAACATACAAATATATATTCATTTTTTTAAAAAAGTATGAATTTATATGTAAATATAAAATTAAAAATATGTATCTATATACATATAAACACCATCTGTCTGGTTCCTTTTAGCTTTAAAAAAGTTCTCGTTCTAAGTAGCAAAACCAGTGCATGTTAAACTAAATTACTCTATGTTCTCAGTGGAGAAAATTGCTACCAAGTAAATAACTTCTATTTAAACAAACAAACCAACAAACCCCCATTCTTTTATTTCTACAATGAAAGGTGTATCACAAGTGTGAGTATAAGTAGGAACGAAGATGCACCAAGGAGCGGCAAGATTCACTGAATTTTGATTTGTAAAGGACCTAAGCGATATTAACCTTTTCCTTCCTCACCTCTGTCATTTTACGGATCAGGATCCTGAAGTCTGAAGAGACAAGGACCCACCATGGTCACATGGGCAGTTAGTGGCAGAGCTTCCACGAGGCCAAAGTCCTTGTGACCCTGAATATGGAGATGCTTTCCACTCTATAAAGAATTAACACTGCTGGACTGAGACAAAGAGAGAAGTGCTGTAGCAGGAGTCAGAGATGGGGAGCAATAAACTGACCCAAGGCTCGTATGTGACCACATCTAGCAGAATCAGCAACATGATGGGGGGCTGGAACATCACTGACCTCTGGAATTGCAGAGGAAGAACCACCCAGATGTTAGAGAAGGCCTCCTTGTCTGTTGGGCACCCAGATGAACATGTCTTAGACCCTAAAGACCACGGCCTGTGACCCTTCCAAATGCTTGGCCCATTTTTGAGATTCCCCAGGGCATGCCTTTTGTTCTTCCCGTTTTTAACTCCTGTTTCTTTCTCTTTATATCCTATCTATCCAGTCCAGAACCACAAATGATACATTCAGAGCAAGATTTTTTTTTTTTTTAAGTTTCATGACATTCCTGGAGATTTGAGGGGTTCTTTCTCCCCTTTTCTTATTCTTACTCCCCTTTCCCTCTCAAGAACAAAACAAGAATCTTTTCTTTTCTACTCCTTAGGCAGTTTTTCCCTCATTTCTCAAGCCTTCGGATCAGCCAACCCCTGGGGCTGAGGCCTCCACCACCACTCCAAGAGGGCTCATTAAGGAATTATTTCCCAACAGTGTTGTGTTTTCCTGAATAGGAGTCCTGGTATATACAATGCTTTCTGGTTCCTCACAATGACAGTACTCTCAGCTGGTCATATCACGGTTGATGATTTCATTAATTTGGGGAATTTTCAGGAATGAAGGGAATGAAGGGATTAAAAGCTCTTATTTCTATAGAGAAATATTCCTATTTCTTAGGACAATATTCTTGGGTCTTTGTAGCTCTATATTTTCCCACTGCCAGTTTCACTTCCCTACCCTCTCCCCAGGGCCTGAGTGTGGGCCTGGAGACCAGCCTTGGAGGGGAGGTGTTCTTTTCCTTTGACTCTAATCCCTTGTTTGCATTTTATATTTCTTCTTTATGCCTCACATCTCAGTCGTTCAGAGCTCTTTGGCCTCAAGAGCTTGGATAAGGGAAAAAAAATTCAGAGTCCTGGCTTTGGGCTTAGGGGAGGGCTGACACTGAATGGCCTATGTGCCCACTCCTTGGGAGGCTTTGGCAGATGTCAATAACTGAATGCAATTGTTTTCTCCACTGATCCTCAAAAGAGGGCCCCAGGCAGCTACTGCATCAAGCTAGAGTTGGCAAGTGACAAGAACCTCTTTATATCCCTTGTTTGGGGCTTAGGCTGATAATCAAAAGAGGTCTTTCACCAAACCTGGGATGCAGCCCAGAGCTCAGGGGCCAGGGTTTTCACAAACTCTACAGTGATCATCATCATCGCCATCGACTAACATTTTCTTGGTTTGTCCTCTCTGCACAAGTCTTTGGGAATTTGCAGTGGCAGGGGGTGACAGCTGGCCAAGAATTGGGGATTCATCAGCCAACTCTATTTTCTTCCATTAGTGACATGATAAACATTTCATTGGCAGAGGCAACAGAACACGAGACAAAATTGGTTAGAGGCAGGTGCAGCACAGCGACCTACCCTTAGGCAACACAGCGTCCTGAACAGAGCCAGCCACAGGGGTCTCTCAGCTGCCTGTACAGCAAATCTACGCTTCCGATGTTCAGGTTTCCCCCAGACACACAGTGATACTTCGTTGTCTTCTGGCTGCCTGTTTCCTCTAGTCTGGTACCCACAAACCCAATAAATTCATCGTTTCCTCAACAGTAAGTTCTCTTTGTAACCGTTGGTCTGAATAAAGTTCCACAGCAGTTATCTCAAATTCTGGTCTCCAGACCTCGCTACACACTTAAAAATTATGAAGAATCCTAAAGAACTTTTGTTTATGTGGGTTTCATCTACCAGTGTTTACTGTACTAGAAGCTTTTAAAAATATACATTTATAAATATATATAAAGTAACAATAATAAGCCCATTCTATGTTAAAATAATATTTTTATGAAAAATAACTGTTTTCCAAAACAAGAGAGAATTTAGTGAGATCGGCATCTTGAGTGAGATCAGCAAATCTCTTTAATTTCTGATTTAATAGAAGAGACCTGAAATCTCCCATTTGTTCCTATGTTCAATCTGTTACACTATGCTGTTTTGTCTGAAGGGTGTGACCCAAAGCTGGCCTCACCCAAATATAGGGTTGGAAAAGGGAGGAGTAACTTAATAACCTTTCAAATATTTCTTTGAAATTCCTTGTGAATAGCCTTTCTTGATACTTCATCAAAACTCAACAAGTGGCAGTTTCTTAAAGTATATTACAATGTTACATCTGAAGCTATACTCAAGTAACATTTTTATTGGATTATATGAAGATCTATTTATCTATTTTGCACCTTTAATGGTTTTTTTCACCCATGCACAATTCTGAAATGGCGTACGTTGGTCACTTGAAAAATTGTGGTTCCTTGAGTTATGCAGCTTTTCCAAATGTTGACATGTTTCATTACACAGTATAAAAAAATCACATTCATTAATATTATCACCTATATTATTAAAAAGTCCTTAGAAATTGGAAAGCTGTCAGATTCATGTTGTTAATATAGGTTTTCCAAAATTCTACTTTTAGCTTGAAAGTTCTTTCCTTTTTTTTTTTTTTAAAGATTTTATTTATTTGTCAGAGAGAGAGAGAGCAAAAGCAGGGGGAGTGGCAGGCAGAGGGAGAAGCAGGCTCCCCAATGAGCAAGGAGCCTGATGCGGGACTTGATCCCAGGACCCTGGGATCATGACCTGAGCTGAAGGCAGACACTTAACCAACTGAGCCACCCAGGCATCCCTCTTTCCTAATCATTGGCGACAAACACTGCCAGTTACTTTCCTTGGAGTGACACGCCCATTCATTCATTTTTGGGACAATGTCTGCCAAATACCTAAGTCTGCATAACTACAGTTTGTTTGTTAGTTGTTCTTCCAAGTAAAAATGGTGTTCCGTGAGAAAACTAAATGTCTAGTTCAGCTTAGAACAGCCTCCAATGTTTCCTCAAGTGAAATGTTGTATTTTGGGATGCTGCAGAAGTATACTTTATGTGTTCTTCCCATTTTGTTATTCGGATTATTAAAAAGGTATATGCTCAAGGATACAGAGTTAATACAATTAATAAACTCTATGGCTTCCTCAGGGCCATTAAGGAAAATTGGTATTTTTCTTTCTTACTTTCT